ACCACACTGCCTGTAATCCAAATAATTATACATGGTGAGCACTATGTTGGAGGAGGTTGGATTAGGTAAACCCTGGATCTTTGTTCTTCTTTTAAAGTCACTGGGTGGCCTTGGACAAACCACTGAAGTAGCGAAGCCCCTATGTACATGTGGTTTGATTCCTAGAATAAATTGGAGTGAATAGCAACTCAACCCAAGCAATCATCTTTCTGAAAAGAGGATCAGCACACCAACTGTGACGTAGTGGATAACAGCCCAATATGCTGGTTTAAAGCAGCACTTTAACAATGTGATAGTGTACTGGGATGCTGAGTTTTTAACATAACTGTTGAATAAATACTAATGAGCAAAATAAGAATCTTAGTAACTGAGGCATGATAGTTTAGGCCTTCAGTAATATGCAAATGTAGTAAAGTCTTTTTGTTGTTGCTAGTAATACCTTTCATTAAACAAATAATAGTTTATACTTTTCTTGCTTTATTACTATTAATGTTATGAGTTTTGTGAGACAATTCTTTCTCACTCCAGATTTAAGACATTTTTCAAGCTGAACAATTAATGTTCTTATGACTAATTTCATACAAAATATATATTTCAATTTAATTCTTCCCTGAAAAAAATTTAGCTGAGATATTTATTTATTAGACCCAAATAATTATAGATCATAATTATCCTTTTCCTTAAAAAATAAGTTGGGTTTCAAAGGAAAATCAGCAGAGTGTGCTGTAATATTTCTTGGACCATCTATTCCTATTGCCTTTCATTTTCACATATATCTCCAAATGGCTGACTGGGACAAACCGGAGGGTAGTTTGGATTTGGAGAATATATATCCTTAATTGCTAATGGACTGAAAAATATATAATCGGTGCATAGCTTCCACATGTTTTAAGACTCATTGAAGTTAAAATGAGGTATGAACCTAAACTGTGTGATCTTATGCATGCTCATTGGGGAATAAATCTCATTGTATTTTGTGGGACTGACTCCTAGTTAAGTGTACAAAGGCTTTATCCCTAATATTCTGTGTTACACTGCTCAGAGCTTTACAAGACTGAAGGGTAGGAAGAATTGGATCTATACTATATAGACTACATCTCTTTCTCATTGCATATTTTATTTTGATTTTTTTATTTATTTATGATTTGTATTTTGGGATTAACTAAAGCCAATCATAGGGTCACTCTTCTTCCTTTGGTTCACTGCTTTTGTGGATTAAGTCAAGTGATACTGGGAACTTAAATTAGGAAAAGGTGAATGATCAACAGCAAAGTAATCTTGCAGACAAAAGTATGCTGCTTCTTTTATTCTTGCTGAGTTGATCATCTTGACTCAAGCAGGACTTGGTAAAATGATGGCTGACATGAAATCATAGAGGTGCTTCTCTTCTGCCTTTTGAACACATCATAGATTTTTATCGCAGCAACAGTTTCCTGATACCCAACTGAGGCCCCCAGTGCGACTAGCAACAGATTGCATTCCATCTTCTAAGGTGGAGACCAGCATAAGGATTTTGTGTTGTAGCAGAAGGAATGCTTACATTCTAAAGTATCAGAGGGCAGTGATACCTATGGTTTTTCTGAGAATATCAAGGACGGCTTTGGGAATGAGGTTTTACCTTATGTTAGCGCATTCTTTTCCAATTGGACAATAGTGAAGTTTAATATATTTAGACAGGACCAGTCTCCTTGGCGTAACCTTCCCTCTCTCCTTTAATTATTTTGCTTCTGGCCAACGTTCTGAACAGACTCAAACAACTGTATCTAGTCACAATTTAAGTTTCACTTAATGGCCTTGACAAATCTTCAGTCTATGGTATTGCGGCAAAACTAAGGAATAAACTCTATGTATTTGCCCAGCACACACTAGAAGAAATGTTGCTCTCAACCTGAAGCTCTTGTCTAGGGAGCTATTCCTCCTGTTTGACCATTTTCAGAATGAATAAAGTCAGCTGCCCTGGAATCTTGAGATAACCAGGTGTGGCACCCCTTCAGGACAAAGCAGGCATTTTAATTAGGTTCCAGTTTTCTTCCCTGTTGCCCTATGATGAAGAGCCATCTTCAAAGGGAAGGCTATATGGCTCCTTGCCTATTGGCTAAAAAATAAGTTGTGCCCGAGCACAGTAACTTTTTGCTCTCCTGGATTTGAATATATTTCCCAGCTTTAGAAGGGAATAGGCATACCTTATTCCTTGTCTAAAAGATTTGATCACTGCATTTTCCTAAATACACTTGTCTCTCTCTCACAGCAGCATTCTCCAAATTATGACCCTCCAGATGTGTTGAGGCATGGCCAGTTCGGGCCAGTTGCTGCCGCAACATGTCTAGAGAGCACCAGGTTGGAGAATGCTGCACTGAAGCAAAATACTAAGGGTTAAAATAACATCCTGTGGCTCTCCTTGTGGAAGCCTTTGTGGAAGATTACCATACACATGCTTGTTTCTACTGCCAGATAATATCCAGTGATAGAAAGTGTCTCACTATCCTCTTTTATTTCACCCAGAGGGCCTGTTTTAGAATGAGTGTGTGTGTGTGTGTGTGATTTTTATCAAGTGAGTAGAGAGCCAGTTTGAGGTAGTGGTTAAGGCACCAAGCTAGAAACCGGGAGACAGAGAGTTCTAGTCCTGCCTTAGTCACAAAGCCAGGTGGGTGACCTTGGGCCAGTCACTGTCTCTCAGCCCTGGTGAGGAGGCAATGGCAAAGAATCTTGCCAAGAAAACTGCAGGGACTAGGATGGGCTGTCACCAGGAGTCAACGCTGATTTGAAGACACAAAAAATAAAAATTATAAAGTGAGTAATGCTCAGTGGCATACAACCTCTCTCTAAAATATTATCTTTATAAATTTTATAAACTTTTAATGCTCCCTAAATATTTTGGACCATATCTCCCATATTTATGGCTGTTAGCCTAGATCTGATGAAAGCTGTACTCCCAGTCACCTGGACAGAACCTGCTTGTATATTCTTGGCCTATATATTGCTGAGCAAGCAAATCAGTGTCCTATTCATCCAGAGATTTACAAGCTAAAATAGGAATGAAACATGTGAAAAGCAGTATGCAGAAAATTTTAAAAAGCAAATGAGTAGGTAGGCTAAAGGAAAAATGTAAATAGGCTTTAAACATGCATCCTCACCCCAGTTAAGTTTTCAACATTTTTGTTTAGCGTGTAGATTATAACTGATAATATATAAAGGAACGGATAACAGACTGATATATACATGAGTAGAACAGCAAAACATATTCTGCACTCAGCAGCACCTTGCAGATTATCCCACACTGGATTATTTTCAGACAAGACTTTACTTGTGTAATGTATATTATCCATACACTGAGAGCAAATATGGAGAAGAAACATGTGTATGTGAAGGTACATTCTTGACAGAGCAGGCTATACATTCAAAATCTGATGGGAGCAAAAAATGGTGTAGCTTTAAATCAAATTAGGGAATATTCCCAGACAGTAAAGTGGAAGCCAAATAGTATAAACAATGCATTTCTAAAGAATCCAGTGGTTAGCTTTTCTGAATGTGGAAGACTTGAGTAAACTTTAAAATTTTCATTTTCTTAGCATATGGAAAAATCAGTCTGGGTTGTTTTATTCCCCCAGAGACTTTTTAATCCTCTGTTTTTTAAGCCTTTTCTAGCCAGGTTCTTTCCATATGTAATGTAATGGATAAAAACTCATAATTCCCAGGCCTCATAATAATTGTCTGGAAATTATGATAGTTTTGGTTCAGCACTACAGGAGACGTGAACATAGGATACCCTGGAGGCTCTATGTCTTTGCTGGGCTGATGGAAATCAGCCTTATCACCCTCTCTGACTCATCAGATCAGCCATTCAAGTCACAAAAGGTGCTTTCCTGAGCATGAAACAAATGATGGCAGACCTTGAACCTCACTGCTTCTTGCTAAATTTTTGTAGGCCTTGAATTATTAAAGCAAGAACAATATTGCAGTAGAAGGCTACTGCAGAAAACCTTGCAATACTTTTGTTGACGAAACACAAACTGCTTAATAAAACTGAGTCACAAACAGTTCTGTCTTCAAAAGCTTGTAAACCCACACTTGCAAAATTGTTATCAGGATAGAGGTCTGATTGTCTGCCACTAAACTGACTGTAGTTGGGATAATATAATCACACAGTTAGAAAGCCGAGGGAACTATTGGAGGGCATGTTTTTTGATCATTCAAATAGCTTACTCCAACCTTCACAAGTGCCTCCAGAAGGGTTCATCATCAACTCATACTCTTCAATCAGCATGTTGAAGACTGTGGAAGTTAAAGTGCAATCTATCTGGAGGTCACCAAATTGGGAAAGCTGGTTTCTCTATTCTTTTACATGATCCTCACTTTACTAAACTAAGTTTTTTTTTTTTTAACCTGTACATGTTCTGCTTTATAAAACAGCTATATCCACAACAAAATTAGAATACCTAGTTCTCAAAGCAGTTGGATCATTATTTATTTATTGCTTTTAAAATTAGGTGTGTAAACTTAGATATACAGATGTTTAAGTACATAGACAACAACTGATGACCTTTTTTTATTCCTGCCTATAGAAATGCCTAATGTTGCTACGTGATTTGAATTATTTCCACTGGAGAGGGTGGCTTGTTGACATCACTTAAAAAATAGGAAATTAAGAAAATTGTTTTCTTTTTTCTTGAGAACATAGGTGGGATGTCTGTATATATTGTAAACCTTTTATTTACATTTTGTAAATAGGATGAGAGCAATGAAATTGATCTCTACTCATATCCACCATCAATTTTTCAATATCTCTTTATGTAAAATAATGCATGGAATAATGCATTTGGTGATGTCTGCTTTGACATTTTCCCTGAGAATCTGATTTTAGTTTTCATTGTGCCATTGAGCTAAGGTGGTTTACTGAATTGAAAATGTGAATAAATCTGTTAAAAAGGTTCTTAAACAATTGTCATGCCAGATATCCATTTACTGGCCACTGACATACACTGTTTTGCTTTTCTTTGCAGTTTAAAAGAATGCTCAATCGAGAGCTAACCCACTTATCTGAAATGAGCCGATCAGGCAATCAGGTCTCTGAATATATATCCAACACATTTTTAGGTAAGCATATGATTATAAAAACTAGTATTCCTTGTGCTTTTTTCCTTTGATTCCACTACCTACCATATTTTTCTGTTCTGTGTATTTATATGCATATTATAAAGCAAGCATTGGTTAATTAAATACCATGTCTGCTTTTATTTTACAACATGAGTATTCCTTTATATTGAATGAGACTTTACAGTGTTCACGAAATACTATTGGATGCTGTCTCAGATGTGATTTTCACTAAATGTGTATGTATATTGTGTGTGTGCTCCTGTATCAGTCAGAGATATTCTAAGATCTTCAGCTTAACCACTCCCTCAGAAATATAGGAAAGACTAATCAAATTAAAAGGGCTGCCCCGTTGTCCCCAGATTGGACCTGACTATTTTAAGTAGCTAAGGAAAGCTTTAATTTTCTGGGCAATTAGATACTTGATGAATAGAAGAAATTAGGACAGACCTATTTTTTAATAGTAATTTTATTAAAAGTTACAATTAAAGAGATAAAAACTAATACAAACTAAAAAAATAAATGAATAAAAAGAAAGAACAGAAAAGAAAGAAAAAATAAGAATATAGTAAAGAAAAAGAAAAGAAATATATAAAGAAATGACTTCCCCCTTCATCATAACAAGTATAAACAATTTTAATAACTTCTCACATTCTCTTAAAATATAACAAATGATCTCTTCTTCCCATATCCCATTTCTTATAAACAACTCCTCAAAATCTCATTCAGTCCTGATCAGCAAAAGTTCATTAAAGGTTACCAGAGATAATAACATATCTATTTTAACCTTGATCAAATAAACCAACTTTATATTTCTTCCTTTTACTTTTAACAATCTTGATCATTAGGCCCTTTAAATAATGACCTAGAATTTTATTTCTTTTCATTTTTTCTTTGTCCCTTCTTACAAAATTCTGCAAAGCTTTAACAAGTCTCTTGTAAATCCAATATAGGAAAATTATCCAGGTCACTCTTTTGGTTTGTTATTTGTATATCCCTTTTAAAAATTATCCAGGTCACTCTTTTGGTTTGTTATTTGTATATCCCTTTTAAAAATTATCCAGGTCACTCTTTTGGTTTGTTATTTGTATATCCCTTTTAATTATTAAACATCAGCTGGTTTCATTTGTATGTCCAATGAAACATATTTTTCTATATCATTCCTGTAGCCTGTCATTTTTAAATCCACTTTCAGATCAATCTTAGTCTTGTCCAGTAAAACCCGTTGCTCTTCCATAACATCTTTTAAACACAGTCTATCTATAGAGGCAGACACTCTTAAAATGAACTTCTGGGTCCATTGTTCAAAAATATCCTTCAGTACGTCCAGTGTTAAGGTATTTGGCTCCATTCTGTATTAGTAAATCAAATTCAAGTGTTCTTATCCTTTAATTATAATATTTAGTTCCTTCTGGTTCCCTCTAGTGTCCAACCTTCAAAGTCCCATCTTATCTTTTTTTTTTTAAAGAATTCAAAACAAAGGCATTTTCCTGTGGGAAGGATTCTTATAATTAATTCCAAAATCTTATTTCAAATCCATCTGGACCCTTAGTCCATTTGTAGCTTTCCACAATCAAAGTTCTAATCAGTTCCTTCTGGTTCCCTCTAGTGTCCAACCTTCAAAGTCCCATCTTATCTTTTTTTTTTTAAAGAATTCAAAACAAAGGCATTTTCCTGTGGGAAGGATTCTTATAATTAATTCCAAAATCTTATTTCAAATCCATCTGGACCCTTAGTCCATTTGTAGCTTTCCACAATCAAAGTTCTAATCACCCTTTTGCTGTTTATTCCAAAAGAAAAAAAATTAAGTCCTTAAACTTGTATTTAAAATGCTACGGATTGAAGGAAACTCACCCAGTGCTGTAAAACATGTTGATCCTAATAGCCGAAAAACAGTTAACAACCAATTTCTGAAAGTGATTAGAAAGAGAAGTATGCAAACCCAGTGTCCTTTGAAAAGGCATTGACTGGGGAAGAAATTTTGAACTGAAGACGTAGCTGATGATCACAGGGGAATGAAGAGCTGGTGAATAGACTGGCTCTTCGTAATCCCTCTCTGGACAAGGAGAGGACTTGAGATTGCCCACAAGTGTTCCATATAGTTGCTGCTCACGAGGAGACCACAAGACAGTGGTCTCCAGCAGGTTTAGAGCTCTGGAAGGCGAAGGAAAGCCTGTTGTCCATTAATTGAAGTGGGTCCCCATGAATGATTCTTCTCCTTGATTGTGAAGTTGCCTTTAAAGAACCTTCCTTCAACTATTACTGCTTCTGGGCCAATAGTTACACTAAGAGTTGTGGCAAAGAGTTTACCAGATGATCTTTTGCTGGATGCCTTACATTACATTATCCTATATTACATAGGCCTACATTATCCATAGGCCATTTTTAAAACCCTCCAAGCTAATCCCAAAGGACTGTGAGTAAAAGCCAATACATTTAAAATACATCAGACTTTTTGGAGGAACATATGTTCATTAAACTCAAATGAAAGCCACATCTGAAAGGTACTTTTCCACACATGTAGAAAACCTATCTGCTACTTTGCACGTACAGACACAGTGCTTCCTGCTGACCCACACATCCTTCAATTTTTCCAAGGGCTTTTCCACCGCTGCTGCTGATCAGCCTGCTCATTCCCCTGATTATCCCAGGGCCTTCTTGCATCTGATGCAGATTGTTGTGTCAGCCTGCCTATCTCCCCAGTCATCCCAGAGCTTTCCTGCCTCAGCCGCCAGTCATCTCATCAGTCTACCGATCTCATCAGTCTACCAACTGACCCAGGATCTTCCTGCAGACATCAGTCTTCATAGAGCCTTCTACTGACTCCAATTGCCTCGGTGCCCTCCCATTAATTTAACACACTTCATTATTTCGGGGGGGGGGAGTGATCATTAATGCTGAATATAATTGAGTGGGGGGATCACCTACATCCAAAAGAATTTGGAAGTCTAGACTTTAGCATTCCTTTTGTTCACTGGACTTCTGGAACAACTCCCAAGCCCAAATCGTTTTGATAGGCTTACCTGACAACTTATATTTTCATTGTAACAACCAGTTGCAACAAGCTGTGTTGACACCCCAGCTGCTAATCAGGAGCAAATAGGTTTTTTAGGGATTTGAAGGCAATACACTTAAATCAGGGTAAAATACCAAAGAGGTATTATTAAGTAAATATTAAGAGAATTAACAGAGAAAGATATAACAATCCATATGACGGTTACACAGCATTCTCCTGGAACTTTGGATCTGCACCAAGGTTCAGACTGTCTGGGGGTTTTAATATGCTTCTTAAGATGCAGGGAGTATAATACCTGGAGATGGCACATCTTATCAAGCAGTTGACTGTAATTTTAGACAGTGGAATCTTTGCCACATAGCACCTGAGGATGGCATGATAATATATCTGATCAATACCTTAGGAAATGATCCTTTGTCTATGAGAACATTGGTCTTAGAAAGCTATTGGTCTCCTTCCCCTTGGCAGGTGTTAGATTATGGAGCTAGTGTTGCTGTCCAGCTAACCGCTATCTTAATGGTTACTGGTAAGAATACTAATAAGAGGCAAGTAAGAGTGATTAACAATAACAATGCAATCAGCAAAGCTAAGTAACTTCTAAGCACATGTGTGGAGGAATATACAAATTTCCTCAAACAACTAAATAACCCTCTCTGCACAAGTATTTCTTGCATATGCAGAGAGAAAAAAGAGGCACTAACACCTTGCCAGTCTTCTGTGATGCTAGCACACAAGGACACAAGGAAGTCACATTTGAGTTGAAGATAGTCTTCCATATGATTAGGTATTGCACATGGTTTTGAGCCAAAATTCATGGTTGCTTGGGTCTGACAGTCTTCCTGGGATATGCTCTGGAGTTTTTCAAATGGCCCAAGGACAAATATACTGTTTCTTCCTGACCAAAAATGTGCTCCTAATTCCATGAAGGGCTGAGAATGGTAATCATCCAATGGCAGAAGAGATTGTCATATTAAGTTGTTGAGCAAAAGTGTTGTTTAGCTGAGCAAAAGTCCTGTTGCTCTGTTCTGTTATTATTATTCCAAAAATGATTAGGAAAGAACCATTTTGTATCTTGAGTGTGTGTCAGTACACTGCATAGACTTCCTACTTGGTGAGATGTGGCCCAAAGTATCTTGCAAGGCAATTCTATAGATTGGAGCTCCAAACTTTCATAGAATAGCATGAGCATGCTTGGGTTAAAACTGGGCTTTAATTTTGCTTGTGGGAGACTCACCAGAATGTGCCCATACTGACCAGTATTGCCCACAATAGGGAATATTGGGTATGGCACAGGGTACAGCTAATGCTGAAACTGTAGTTTATACCTTTTCTATCTTACAAAAAAGCTGTATGACCAAGGTGGGCTCATCTGGTGACGTTCATGGTATATGAAAGATTGTGGGAGAAGTGAACAACAAATAGCATGAATTAAGTAACAAAATGAATGAAGGTGGTCTAATATAGTGGAATGGAAGTGATAAATACATTCAGGAAAGTAAAGATATAGGTGTTATTATGAACAGAAGTATAAATTGGTGTCATTTAGGTTGTGGGTGCATATGAAAGTAGGACTCTGTAGGTTGGTAATGATGGTATATTATGACACAATGAATGATGATAATGGAAGAATTAGATATGATTTTGGGGAAATTAAGCAACATTCTGAATGAATGCAGTCCGGGGGGTGGGGGAATTATTCTGTTACATGACATGAATGGATGGATAGGAAGAAGAGAGAGTATAGAAAAAGTTATTGGTCCATTTGAATACCCTAGAGGAAACAAGAATGGCAATGGTTTGATGACTGTCTGCACTGAGAAATGTCTGTTCATTTCAGATATGTGGTTTAAGCTTAAGCCTATTCATGCAAACACATGGCAGTGAATATGAATCAAAAATCATGATTGATTTGATTATGTGTGATGAATTTTTTTAAAAAAATAGTGAAGGATAGAAGGGTGTTCAAAAATTCTGAATGAGGAATAGA